ATTGATAGTACCTATTGAAAAAAAATCTTCATGTAAGGGGAACTGCACAGTTCAAACCTGTGTTGTTCAAGGGTCAACTGTATTTGGCATTTACAATTACACCAGCCTTAGGGAAAATTGTACTTTCTACATCTCAATACCTAGTAATCATCCAGGGTTCTTGCTAATTGACCTTCCTTATAGTATGATTTTTTTCACCTCTGTTGCCTAACCACTACCTAGGAGATAAGGATCAATTAATCAATGCCTAGGTTTTTTTTTTTCTACTTCTAGCTCTCTGTAGGATGACTTATTTTTCAAGCATATTTTTCTTTTCCCCTGCCCCCTTTAAGTCTTACTAATCTCCACAGACAGAGAATTGCACATGGTATCTGCCATAGTAAATCTTGGGGGCGATGCTTGGACGTCTGTTGTCTCACTTCCTAGACAACACAGAAAGTAGCAACAATGGTGGCACTAAAGACCCTTGTCCTTCTCGTGTGGGTCCAGGCAGCCTGGAAAGCCTATGTGCACTTACAGTCAGTTCCAGCTAGGACTAACCAGTCCATCTCAGCCCACAACTATGATATCTATAGGTTCTAGGCCTGTTAAGTGTGAAAAAGAAGAAAATTAACTCTCTGTTGGAGGCTGATCAAACCACCTACTCAAGTGAGCCAGACTTTTGGGACTCACTCTTGATTCTTCCTCCATTTCTCACTCCCCACTGCAAAAATCCCTCAGGTCCTGCTGAATGTACCCCATGGGCTTGTCACTCCGTGTCCATATGTAGTTTAGGCCCTCATCCTCCATCATTCCTGGATTCTAGCAGCAGTTGCCTGCCTGGTTTCTCTGCTTCTAATTTGGACACACTTTAATGAGTCCTTCATGCTGGCCGGAATGGACTTTCTAAAATGCAGGTCTGACTATATCATTTCCTTGTTTAAAATCTTTTGGAGATCTCCCTACAGAAGAGAAATCCAAATTGTTTTTTGGTTTTTTTATGGGATTTTGTTTTGTTTTGTTTCATTTTGTTTCGTTTTAAAACACGACTTCAAGGCCCTCCAAGGCCTGTTCCCAAAACAGTCACCAGAACAACTCTCTAAAAACGGAAGTCAGATCATGTTGATTTTTTTTTTTTTGCCCTCAACACAGGCTTGGCTACCCGTATTGCTCAGCCAAAGCCAAAGTCTTCACAATGGCTGAAAGGCCCTACCTGTTCTGTCTGCTCTTATCTCACTAATGTCACTTACCACTGCCCTCTCCTTGCTCTTTCTACTCCAGTCACACTGACCCCTTGAGGTCCCAGGAGTGCTCTGGCAGGCCCCACCTTCGCGCCTGGCTGTGCACTCTGTGTGAGCCATTCTCACCCCAGATAACAGCAAGGTTTGCTTCCTCATCTCAAATGTCCCCTTCCCAGTGAGGCCTTCCCTGATCATCCTATTTAAAATTAGAAACCCCCTTCCCTAGTACTTTTGATCCACATTCACTGCTTTATTTTTCTGCAGAAGTTTTTCTGACATACTTACATATTTTACCTATTTATTCTGTTTGTTGTTGGTCTCCTTACCTGGAATATGGGTTCCATGATGCAGGGGGTTTTTGCTTGTTGCCAAATCCTAGCTCTTAGAACAGTGCTTGATAGAGAGAAAAGGCTAAATTGGTATTTGTTGAATGAATGGACC